TCTTACTGTATCATCAGATGCAATGAGGTGGTAGTTGCTATCTGTGCAGTTATATACATGCAAGAGTATGGACTTATGTTAATGTCCCACTAGGATATTCAGTATATTTATATGGGGTCTGTGTATTGTTGAAACATTCCTTATTTTGGAACCTGTACATATATTGATCTGTATGTGGGATCATTTACTGTAATCCACCTATATTACCTGTACATTTAATCTTGAATAAATTGAAACATATTCAGGGTGTTGCAATGTTTCTGTTTTGTATTTCTTTCTCTCAACAATAGATATTTATTGCTTGGTTCCTAAAATGTCTTTATAACAGTTGTGGTTCACTTAATATGAAACTGAATTTGTCCTTGAGTTTAGTAAATGATTAAAACAGGATTCCTAAATTTTATGTTCATTAATTTCAGCTTTATTGGCCATATCATTATCATTTGGAAATACAAGTAACAGCAATGTTTCACATTTTTTAAAATTCTCCTTAGCCATAAAATCTGTTTCATATATATTTCCTAAAGTGCATGTTACCTGGCCTTATTTTAGCCTTGGCCAATGGTATCAGATTTTTTTGTCTTTACTTTTTTTTATTAATTCATGTATTTTATTTAACATTCTCTCATGTTTAGTTACTTTCTGTTTGTCACTCCATTTACCAGAGTGTCGATCCTGTTGGATTCCATATTTTGTGGCAATTTCTCTGAATATTTTAAGAAGAATTTGTTAAATTTTAGTAACAAAGTACATTCTTTTCAAATTTTAAGAATTGATTATAAATTCTTTTCATTGACATATAAAATTTCACACACTGTTTTATTTTTTATTGAATTTTTGTTCAAACAAATATATGTAAATATTTCTCAATTAGCAACATGAAATATTTATGTACCCTCTATGAATAAATTAAAACTTCAGAAAGTGATATTTTATCTTTGAAAGATTTTGAAGCAAACATGGCATGTAATTTTAAAAATATTTTATTTAACTAATCCCTCTTGTAAAGGAAGACTTTAGTTTTAAAAACTGGTAAAAACCATATTGTATATACTTGTGTATCATGTGACATTTGAAGACCTAATTTTGAAGCTAATTTTAAGGGGGTCATATCATATAAAATTAGTGTATGTACTGTTGGGCCTGGCTAGGCCATTGACCAAACTATATATCCATTTACTATAGTCAGATTTGCTAGAAAATTAGGTCTTCAAAGGTTGCATGACACATGAGTATATATGATATATCATTTATTCTCTTATTTACCATATTTGATTGATTGCCAGGAGTGTATTTTTATATGCAGATTGTTGTGTAGAATATACACAAATAATAAATTATAGATTCTAAAATCAGCTTCATGTGTTTTTATTTTATTAGTTTATTTCTGTAGACTCTTTGTGATTTAGAAAGCTGAAACCAGATCACATTGTTGCATATGTTTATTTTAATTTTAAAAAGCAAACGTGAGGCTTTAAAGTGTTTTAGTTTAAGAATTTTAGGTTTATTTATCACAAGTTGACACTTGATTATTTATCTTTCAAGTTTTGGGATTAGTGAAACAATAAATGTTTCTTGTATTAATAACTATTAGCTGTCAAAACACAAGGTAATTTAATGCTGACCATTCAGGTTTAGCTGACAAGAGGTAAAATTTTCCAAATTAAATTTTATAAATTTTTTTTTTTTTTCAAACAGCTTTTTTACTGTATTTTTAAGAAAACAAATGAAATAGTTTTGGGGAAAAAAACAGTACAGGATGCGATGGGTAAATTGTTGCCATTTTATATTTTTAATTTTGTGCATGCGTATTGTTGGTTTTTGATTTTGTCAATTGTACACTATAGTTTGGTCAGTTGGGCACTATCTGTAAGAAAAAGAGCACCATGATGCAATTCACTCCGCCAGAAATTTGGAGACAGCATGCTGTACTACTTGGCATTCATGCCAGAAGCTCCAAGATAAACCTTTCAGAGTCATTGGGTATCGATCTGAGAAAAGAGTTGGATGAGTCTAATGGTGATTACAAAGGTACAGCAATATGGAGGAAAACTTATGCTGATCATGTTGATAAGACAAGAACTCCTGAATTTGTTGTTGAGGGCCTCAGGCTCAACACAGTAGCCTACACCAAGTGTCTTGAAAAAGTAGTTCTACCCTGAGTCAAGAGGGTGGCTGCTGGAAGACCCCATGCCTGGCAACAGGACACTCCACCAAGCCACACAAGCAGTTAGACAATTTCTGTGACCATATTACATGTATATAACAACAAGCAGTGTGAAAATGATGAAAAGATATATGGTCTTATAATAATTCCCAATTGGAATTCAAATTTCCAGAGAATTCTGCTATGTTTCTGGAAAAACCATATTTTTCTCAATGGGAAAACAGCAAGGCCATGCGGTGAGGACAGATTTATATTTCCCAATGGGAATTTGAGTGGATTGTATGACTCCAATGAGAGTATATTACCCAAAGGGAAAACAGCACCATAGCAACTGGTCCAGACAGGCTGATTTAGCCTGGCCTGTCTTAATAAAAAAATAAATGCTCATGATTGACTTCAGGCAGCTAACAACTGACCACTGACCACTTTCGTCACTCAACAGCTGTCATATAACTTTCATGACTTAATTTCATCCAAAGGGAAATAATCGCCTTTTGCACTGCTATATAGCAATTTTTTTCTTTGTTTAGAAACTGGTCCTTTCAAAAATATTTTATCTAAGAAACATTTTTTTCCTCCAATATCCTAAATATTTCATATATAACCTCTAGAAAATAAAAAATTATATGGACATAAGATGTTTTACAAAATAAAGAATACAGCTTTGATTAAAAGAGAAATCAATTAAGGTGAAAATATGTTGCAAAAACTCTAATTTCAGAATCTTTACAATAGATTTACAAGCATACAACATGACTTCATTTCCAACAATGCTGATACAATGTAAGATAATTAAAAACACAATAATAAAAGCAATTGATAAAAAGCTGAATGAGATAAAGCATCTAGATGCATCAGACATTTAAATTTAAACTTTAATATTTTTAACATTTTATTAATATTTTCTATTGATTATAAATTTTTTTGATTTATTAATTTTTTTTCTTTTGTTTTTTTCAAATTTTGTAGTTGTAAAGAAAAGAAAAAAAAGGAAAACTGTAAGCTTATAGTAGCAACAAACGTCTGCAATAGATTTCTTGTCTCTTGACCACAACACTTGTAGCCAAATCACAGTTCAAATGATAGTCCATCGTAATAGTCCAACAGGCAACGTAGAAATGATAAAATGGAGTCACAAATCCAACCTTCACTTCTCACCAGCAAAAACGCGTGTTTGTCCACCAAGCTCAGAAAATCTAATCCTCACATAAGCGAAGAACAACGGCTTTTGTTCACCGAGAGATCTTTCTGATTGGTCACACCATTCAGGGGAGGGAAGAACATTAGCATAGATTCTAGTCCTTAAAGTAGATTTTTACTAACTACTTTTTGGTCATTTTTCTTTGGAAGATCGCACACAAAACACAAACTCTTTTTCGAGGTAGCTGATTATCTCTTTTACTACACTATTAACTGAAGTTCAGTGATAAAAAGTTATGCTTTTTTTTCCAGTAAGTAGGGGTTAAATTCCATTATTAAACACAATGACTTTGTCAGTGGGACAAAACTTTCTATCTTTGATTATTGTTTCTTAGAATGTTTATCATCCTATGTTTTTTTTTTAACATTTTGGTTGTTAATTGTATTTACACTATACAATGGCTTACTAATAAGATTACAAAACAAATGTAAGATTAGAAAATATTATTCTTAGATATTTGGTTTTCAGAATAAAGAAAGTCTAATCAGATTCAAATTTAAATATAATTTATACTTTATATGCAACTTTATAATGACATGTTTTAAAAATATGCTTTATGCTTTACAATAATTCTGCTTTTTAACACTTGATCACTCAGTGGTTCCTTGTTATATACCTGTTGTGAGAGACCGAGAGTTTGTTTGGTTTATAACACAAGGTAGTAGTCGAGATAGACACATGGAGAAAATCAACACACGTATGTAGTTGAGTATTAGTCTCTACTGCTGTTGGTTTTGTCGCTGGCTGAAAGCATTGCTGTTGATGGAAGAATCTTGGTGTTGCTGCTGATGGCTTGGGCAGTCACCACATTTGATTAAGTTTGCCTGCTGTGGGGGTTGTCACTAATGGTCAGAAAAGATGTTTTATGACCATGGTATTTTTTGGTGGTATTCCAGAAGTGGGTGCATGGAACTGGATAAAATTAAGGTCTGTTTTTGTCATATGAGCTGTGGATGTTGAAGTAAGCACTTTTGTTTGAGTTAAAGAATCAGAGTTCTGACAGGGTACAACAATTCTTAGCCACTTCTCAATAAGCTTTTATATAGGCAGGAACATTATCTTCACACCTTTTAAATAACTATAGTACCGACCTTGTTTTTCATTTAGGTACAACATACACATGAGAGGAAAGTGTGAAATAGCAAAATTTTCTTTTTATTTACATTACAGAGCTTTGATTTAGACAAATTGATACTCTTTCAGCATAAAGGTACATTTTTTTATAAATCTGTTTATGAAAATTGTTTACTTTTTAATTCCTCGTAGGCTATAGGAAGTTAATGAACAAAATAAAGAAAATTGTAAAGGATATTAGGTATATTTCTATCATATTGCTAATGTATCTTATTTAAAATGTTTTATATTATTTTTTTTATCTGAGAAAGAAAATATCAAATTTAGGAAGAAAATCCTTTAAATAAAGTAAAATGAAGTAATATAAAAAAAAGAAGAGGTGAACAATACAGAATTGTTTCCCTTTAAAAGCAAAATTTGTTGAGCATTTTGCCTTCAAGAAACACTAGTATAGAAAAGTTTTACCAAATTATTTCATATTTGTTAGAATTATTTGTAAATAAGCAAATGTGTTTATATACATTCTTTTATAGTCAATTTTCTCTTGTTTTATTGCAGATTTTACTAGTAAAAGAAATATCAGCAAATTTGGAATCCTACCAAAGGATGTGCAGAACTGTCTTAACCAATAGTGAAGAAAGTAGATATGGATTAGTAAGTAATTTTAAATTTTAGACTAGACTTAAAAAGAAAAAAAAACAAATGAAAGCTATTATTAAAACAACTGAATATACAATTTGTGAACTTAGAGAATAAATATTTTAAAATTGTTTTAAACAATTATATTTTATGCAACATATGTATTTTAGGAGTTCCCTGATCACTACAATCTTAACTCCTTCAATCTAAGGTCAACTGTTATATATATATTTCCTCACAATCTGAGCTTATTTCCTTACTCCATTTAGTAACTCTCTACCTTGAGAGGCTCTTGGGCCTTGGATTGGGTGAATAAAAAAACAAAAAATTACAGTATTATCTGTAAAATTTAGGTTTAATATTGAGAAATAGTTGAAAAGAGTAAATAACTTTGAATATAGGCTGATTATAACTGACTAAATGTCAAATATAAATAATACTTTGGATATGAATCTAAAAACTACTATATTCTTTAGTAAAAATTGACTTTGTGTATAAAAATAGTAATATACAAAAATGAATGTACCATTTTCTAAAATGTATGTTGTATTTGTTTATATGAACTTTTCTAACTGATTTCTTAATGTTATGCACATTTTTGTCACCCAGATCATTACAACAGTAGATAATAGTAGGCACTTTAGTTTGGTGTGTCATACTAGAAGTTTGAATTAATTATATAACAACTTTAAGAAGAATAAAACTCTTATCCTGAACCACTAGTTTTGCCATAATTTGTGTTACTTTCATGGCCTCTCTGATATATTTTTTTATGAAAAATGGTATTCTGTTATATTTATTTGTATTCTACTTAATCTTCCTTATTCTTAGTTTTTCTTTTTTATATATTTAAATTAATATTTTCCATGGTATGGTATATCTTTGTGAATCATTTTCTTTCTCTCTTTTTTTTTTCCCTCATTGCTTATTTTAATATCTGCTTCAGGATAATGGACAGTTAATAGTAAACCAGGATGATTTTGCTAAGTTATCAACAGAAGTGGCTCAGCTTACTCAGAATTTACCAAAAGTGTTTACAAAGAAACTCATAACAACATTAAACCAAATGGAAAATATATCAAAAGGTTAGTCAGTTTTCTGTCAGAATCTATTTAATCATTATTCATTTTTGACTAGTATTTCTTTTGCTACAATTTCATCTGTATTTCTTGCATCTTAATTTCAACTACTAGAGAAAAAAAAATGCAGTTTTGAATTGTACTGGGAGTTTATTTGTTTTCAATCTGCTCTCTTTATTAATGTCTGTAGAATGACAATCTGAGTAGATATGATGAAAAATTGAAATTAAGATGAAAGTAACACTGATAAAACATTATTAGATTTTGACAGTGTTTCATATATTAATAATAAAAAAAATTATGTTTGTTTATTTCAATCATATGCTCTGATTTAGAAATTATGCTTTCCTGCAAAATCCCTAAGAATATACAATCACCATGTCACTTAAATTCTAGTTAATAAAATGAGGAAACTACTGTAATTTTATTTATCTGCAAATAAAACATTGCCTATTTAAGCAAATTACAAACCTTTTTTATAAATTATCAGAGAACAAGTTAATTTAAATGTCTGTTTTCCAATTCTTTTCAAAATGATGTGTTATTTACAACATTTACTTTGAAAGACTATTGCTTAGTTTCTTGGTATATATAGGTGATGTTCCTTGACTTTACATATATTTTTTTAGTCATTATTATAATAAAGTAGATAAGATATACCAGACAAAGTATTGTTATAAATCACCTCTATTATTAATTTGTAATTTAAAAAAGTATTTTGTATTAAAATTGTTAATATTGGATTCAGCTTTAGTCTATTTGCTTATTTTATATTTGTATCCCATAATATTAAAAAGCTGAATAAAGCCATAGGGTAAAATAACCTTTTTACAATGTTAGATTAACAAGAAGAGTATTATTTTAGTAGTATAAATTAGAATTGTTGGAAAAATGTATGGCTTTGAAAAAATAATCTTTTATCAGATTCATCAATGTGAATATATTTAGGAATATTTTTCTACTGGGTTATTTTATTTTAAATATTTCAGCAAATTCAGTGAAAATTATAAACACCATTTATTCATTACAGCCAAAATATTTTTGGAATGTTTTTTATTTCATTATTTATATCATGACATTTTAGATACTTTATAAGGATTGTCTTGTAAGCTAGTGAGTGTTTGTGTTATAGTAATAACTTATAGTGTGGCAAATATTGTATATGGTTTTAATTATAAAACATGATCTTATGGGGCTGGTTCTTTAGTACTACCAGCATACATTTCCAGACCATTAAACACATTAATTATAACCTATATAAAAACAAATGGGTTAAGGTCACTAAGAAAATGAATTTAATACCATTTTGTTTGTCACTTAAAGATGTTATGTAAGATGCATGTTCTTTCAGCAGAAAATATACCTGCCAAAAATCATTGGTATTTTTATTATTTGATCATGTAGATAATAGTTATGAAGTTTGTTCATAATTAGAAGTTTCAGCAGAATACCACAAATTTATATATTTATGAGAAAGAAAGAAGCTTGTTTCATGAAGAAAAAATAAAATGTATTCAATCTAGAATATAGTTTTAACTTTGCTGAAATTGTGAATAATGTTCTGAGTACTTTTGACCATCTTCTGTCATTTTTAAGGAAATAATGTAAAAGTCAAGAGGTAGCCAGTGCAGCATTTATGATTTTAATAGTCCAGAGTTCAAAATGAACATATGTTCATATATTTTGGTAGCAGAGTAGATTTTAGCATCTCATGACTAGAATGACCTTACAGTTCAAAGGCACACAAGATTGGAACAAGCTTTATTGATAGGTTACCACCACTTCCAAAATTCTTAATAATTTTTTTTTGCAATTCTATAGGTAGAGTTTTGTTGTATTAATGACCATAATCTGGTGGTAATTAAAATGGTCACTGTGAGTTTGTGTTAAATGTTTATCTATGGCACTTTGTTCTGAGAAGTTACAGATTAATCTTCTTGAAAGAAAAGTTGTGGTATGATCAATATATTGTGATCTTTTTTCTTTTAATTTTATTATCAACTGAGACTCAGTTTCCCAAGGGAGAAGAGAATTGATATCAAATTTTAGTCTTTTACAATTTTTTTTAATTTTTATTTTAGAAGTGTTGTTGGTAACTACAGGATTGAGTTTTGATTTTTTTTCTAATATGATAAATCTTATATTTCATCTTTTATATAATTGGAGTGTATCTGGTTACTGTAAAATAAGTAAATAGTATTTTTGTTGTTGTTTAAGTCAGGTTTATTATTATATGTTGTTTCAATTGTGTGTAAAATTACGTTTATTTGTTCATTGATGATGTGATTAAGAAAATTTAAACAAATGTTTGTTTAATATTAGATAATTCTTTATGCAATATTGTTGTAGAGGAAGAGATTAAGTCATACAGTTCATGAGGCTTTTTCTTTAATTGCTATTTTATATCAGTAAAATCATTAACTTTGATAATTAAGGGGACAATATTGTTTTTTTGTTTTCAAAATTATAATGTTTTGATGACTATTATCAGAGGATATCAAGAAACAGTACGTTTTTAATTAATGTTGAGTTCATATATGAAACTATGGAATTGCTTTCAAATATTTACTTTAGATTTTTTATGAGAAAGAATATGACATTGTACCGATGATATATACAGAGAGTTTGTCTGTTATGGCAAAAAATTTATTTTCAATGTATGCTATATAATAATTAGAGAAAGAAACGTCCTAGCAGATATCTCCTGACCTTATTATTGTTTTGTTTGTATATATTTCATAGATTTTTATAGGAGATTTATATGTATAAACATTTTGTATAATGCAGTTGATAGCAACAATAATTGGAACATTTTCAATTAGGTTTTCAACATCAAGTGAAGCTAGAATTTAATTGTTTCACTTAATCAAATGCAGACTCTGAATATAGTTATAAAGCTACATATGATATTTTTTTCTTTTTGACAAAAGCTCAGAAGTGATTTTTATATTTTTTCATACATCTTATACTGTCATTATTTTAACATCTCCTTCCACTCTTTTTCTCACTGTCACATATGGCGAGCTGTTATTGAGTACAAACATACACAGAGAATAAGAAAACATTCAATTTTATTTGTGTGTGTGTTTTTGATGCTTGTGTCCCTTCAGGATAAACGCAATCTTGGCTCCCCAAACATTCCTTCTTTTTTTGTTTTTAAATATCTGTGAATTGCCATGACTCCCTAGAAAAGATACTGGATTTGTTCCTCATTGGTTTCTCTATAGTTTAAAATTCAACATAGTCCTTTTCCAGACTGGCCGCCACCCAATTGTTCAGTCAAGATATGAAACATGTTAGGCATTATTAATATATCACTTATCAAGTGTTTTTCCACTGGGAAAACTGCATGCTGGCTGACTTGCCATAATGTCCAAGACAGTTTTCAGTTTTTATTAAAGTTGAATGCTTTGCTTAGAAATTCTCTTCCAACTCCACACTTACAAACGTGTCTTTGATTTTTCACCTAAAACGGAATCTCTACTGAGTGATTTATGTATCACTTCACCTATAGTTTCTATATGACTCTATAATTTCCAAACTAAATTGCCACAAATGAATACAAATTGACATTATCCTTGCAATTGTCCTAGGGAAATGTCCTGAATTTGCTGCTGATTTTGCTTTCCAGCTTGTTGGTAATTCTCTTCCGTAATTTCTGTCTTTAAGAAGTCTGAACTTTCTGATCATTTAAATTATTGTCCTATTTGTTTTTTACCTATTTTTAGCAAAGTACTAGTCACTCTAATCAACTCTAAATTGGGTAAACATCTCACTTCACATGGCTTCTTTCAGATAAACCATTTATGTGTTAACATTTATTGCTGAATATGTCTATCAAGCGCTTTTGATAAGAATGGTGTGGCTTTAGATATTTTGAAGATGTTTGACTGGGTTTGGCATGTTGGCCTTCTTCACAAGTTGAAGAGCTATGGTATCTCTGGCTGTATATTCAACTTGATCCAATCTTTCTTAACAGATCGTGTAATGAAAGTTGTGTTGAACAGGCACTCTTCTTGATCATTTCACATTAATACAGAGGTCCCTCAGAACTCTATCCTTGAACCTACATTGTTCCTTATTTTCATCAACAGCCTTCCAATGTCATCAGTTCCCAAATATGTATTTATGCTGATGACACAACTATTTATTCCTGTCTTAATAGTAAGTTTGATATGTCGAATAAGGTAAAACTGGTAATTGATCTTGAAAATGACTCCAATCAGTTGTTAACTGGAGCAAGAAATGGCTTGTAAATTTTAACACCTCTAAAATGAAACTGCATAGTCATCATAGGGAAATATTTTTGCATTCTGTCAGCATGGCTGATGCCAATCTCTGGAAGAACAACTCTTTGCATCTTACTGGTCTCATGTTTTTCACTGACATGAAGTGGAATGATTATATTGAATCAATTGCTAGGTCTACTGCTAGGAAAGTTGGTTCACTGAGTCATGCCAGACAACTTTTATTGTCAGAATCCACATTTATAAATTGTCCATTTGTCCATGGATTGAATATTGCATTCATATTTCATTTGGTGCTCTTGCATTATAATACCTAGACATCTTCAACAAAATCCAAGGAAGGGTCTGTAATGTTATCAGACCTGACCTAGCATCTTGACTTCAGTCACTTACTCTCATCACTGTGATGTGGCTGCCCTGTGTCTTTTCTATAAATATTTTCATGGCAATTGTTCTAATGAGTTATCTTCCTTGGTACCTCGACAGTATGAATTTAAGAATACTTCTAGATCTCACTGTTTTATTGTTGAATTACCTAGATGTAACTAAGTTCTATTCTGATAATTTCTTCTCTTGTCCTTTTTGCCTGTGGAAATCAATTTCTGGTTTCTTACTTTCCTGTCAACTATGATCTTCAAAAAGTTAAATGCAACATCACTTGACATCTTTTGTCTTCCTGAAATCTGTTCTTTTATTGTCTTTCTCCTCACTAGGGTCTTCTCATTTTCTTTCACTTTCATTAACAGAAGATGGTAAGTG